ACCTTGTTTAAGTATTTTTGTTGTAAGGCAAAGGATTTGTAGAGTTAGAATAAATGCATGATATGGGTATTGCTGAAATCAAAATTAGTATTTTTCATCAAGGTTTTGTTTATTTTGTATTATGATTTTTTATTTTGCAGAAACCAGATACCTAAGTATAAATATGTGTAATTTTAAACTATTTTTCCTTTTAAGTATGTTTTTATTGATTTTTTAGAGAGAAAGGGAGAGAGAGATAGAAACATCAATGTGAGAGAGATACATCGATAGTGATACTAAACAAACAAGTAAAATAAGTATGTTAGATGGTGATGTGTTCTAGAGAAAAGTAAGTACATCAGGGGAGGTATTAAGGAATGTTGAAGTGAAGAAAGTACCTACCATTTTTATATAGAATGGTCAGAGAAGGTTTCACTGAGAAGGTGATATTTGAATGATGACCTGAATTTGATGAGGGACAGAGCCATGGCAGATATTTGGGCAAGTGTGTTTCAGAAAGTTCTAAAGCCCTGTGTTGAGTGCAGGCTGATTATATTTAGAAGCATAAGAAATTAATTGTATAATTTTCTTGTTTCATTTTTGCTTTCAAAGTAGATTCTAAGATCTACTGAAACAGTGGGGATTGTCCATGTCTGGCTCATTATTGTACCTTTTGTGCTAAGTATAGTGCCAAACACATGGTAGGTAGGCAGTGGAACAGTGGATCAATATGGGTGAATTCAGGAAAGATGAGGGGGAATTTTGTAGATTTTTTTTTTTTTTAAGTTCATACAGCTAAAATATTTGGAGCTGCAAACAGCTTTATAGGTCATAAGAAAACAAGAAAGTTCTTTAGCTAGAATGATTCTTCTAAAAGTCACTGTTGCTCTGGCCAGTGTGGCTCAGTTGGTTGCAGTATCCTCCTGTATACCTAAAGGTCACTAGTTTGATTCCCAGTCAGGGCACATACCCAGGTTGTGGGTTCATTCCCAGTAAGGGAGTGTACAGGAGGCAACCAATTGATGTTTCTCTGTCACATCAATGTTTTTTCTTCCTCTCTCTCTCCTTTTTGTCTCTCTTTTCCCCCTACCTTCCTCTCTTTCTAAAATGAATGAAAACATATCCTCAGGTAAGGGTTGAAAGTCACTGTTAATTAGTAGTAGCTTTCTTTGAATGGCAAAGATTTTTTTAAAATATGTTTTTATTGCAGGAGAGAGAGGAAGGGAGAGAGAGTAACATCAATGTGAAAGAGAAACATTGGTCGGCTGCCTCTTGCATGCCACTTACTGGGGATTGAGCCCAAAATTGGGCTGGGAATCGAACCAGGACCTCTCAGTCCATGGGATGATGCTCAGTCCGCTGAGCCACACTGGCCTGGCTGAATGGCAAAGATTCTTATCTCTTATTCTAACTATTGATAGGGGACCCTTTTTTCCCCCAGATGTCTGATCTAGACATGATAAGATACTGACTGTGAAAGACCTCCTTGCAGCAGAATCTGCAGTCAGTTAGTTAGCTTGGTTGAAATTCCTGTTTGACACTTGTGTGACACTGTCCCCTTCCCTCCAGTACTTCACCTTTAAATGCCCTAGTTTCCTTATCTGTAAGACTGATACTGTTATTCCTGTTCCAGCATTCTTTATATCATAAACATTTTTTCTTTGCATAGTGGGTTTCTTTTTTCATTAATCTTCTGATATACTACTCATGTAGATTATTCTTTCCTTTTTTTTTTTTTATAGGGAGTTATTAAAAACATAGGACTATGGCCCTGGCCAGTTTGGCTCAGCGGTTAGAGCGTCGGCCTGTGGTCCAGAGAGACCCGGGTTCGGTTCCCACTAAGGACACGTACCTCAGTTGCAGTTTGTCCCAGGCCCTGGTTGGGTCGCGTGGGTGGCAACCACTCGATGTATCCCTTTCATGTCGATGTTTCTCTCTCTCTCCCTCCTTCCCATTCTATCTGAACAAAATATCAAAAAATGTCCTCAGGTGAGGATAAAAAAAAAACAACAAAGAAAAAAAACACATAGGACTATGGAATCAGACATACTTTACCTCAATAAAAGCTTCCTTCTTTAAGTTGTTTGTCAACACATGTTAAAGTTTTATGTAACTAATGAGGGGAACAATCGGGAAGACAAAAAACTACTTCCAAGAGTATTTGTTTTTTTTCTTTATTGATTTTAGATAGAGAGGAAGGGAGAGGGAGAAGGAGATAGAAACATGGATGAGAGAGAACATTGATTGGCTGCCTCCTGCATGCCCCCACTGGGGATCTGGCCCACTATCTGGGCATGTGCCCTGACCAGGATTGAACTGGTGCATGGGTTGATGCTCAACCACTGAGCCACACCTGCCAGGCGCTTCCAAGAGTATTTAAACATCAGAAGTTCATGTATTCATTTAGGAAAGGGATGCCTACATAAAACTGCTAAGCTACATAGAAATATACATAGAAATACATAAACTTTCTAAAGTTTAGGGAAGCCATATCACCTTTGGGGTTAATCCTCAGAAAACTTGGAATATAAAACATTGAGTTTAGTTAGATATCATCATGGTCTTTATCATCACATTCAGTATTATCAGACTGGATTTTATCATCATTCTCAGCATCAACTGTATCTGTCTCATTGATTTTTAACATGTTTCAGAAACTTGCCATATGCCTGCAGATTTGCAGCTTCATCTGCATTGTATTTAAAATTACATCTGGCAGATCAACCAACGTAATTTATTCAAACCATTTTTCTTAAGTTTTTGGATATGACATAACCTTTTTACACCATCAAAACATATTACTTCTAATCTTTTCCCCAACATTTAACTACCTGAGCGTACTCTTACTCATCGTCTTTACACACCAAATCCTTTTTATCTGATTTATTCTGTTTCTTACCCTGCACCTGTTTTTACCTCCTTTACTTTTATAAATAGGCATGGCAATTCCTTGTGGCATCTTGGAATCCTTTCCTGTGTTGGCATGCAAGACAAAGGCGCATGTGGTGTGAAGTGGAACTTTCGTGGGTGGGAGAGTTTTGAGACTGAGATTTTCTGAGACATGCTCAGCAGCAGCAAATTTCTTTCCTGCCCTCTTCCCTTTCCATGTGTGTTAATGTTTTTTAAGGTTTTCTAGGGCAGGCCTAATCTTTACTCTTGTGCTTTGTTAGCCTCATTGCAAAGTGAACCTCTCGGATTTTTACTGAATGCCCCAAGGACTTTATCTTGCCTGTGAAAACTTGAATGATTCTTGGCCCTGTGTAAGCTCTGGGAATTATTCAGCTTTAGCTACCTGGTAGTTTTTCTTTCTAAGAAGTTATTTTTTCTCAACTTTATGGGTTTTTACCCTGTGCATGTGCAGATTGGTATTCAAGGGGTAGGGTGGGGTCAACTCCCCCCCCCCACACACACACACACAGGTCTTGGAGTAACTCTCTTCAGGGACTTTTCCCCCCAAATAATTTTTGCCTTGGCCTTTCTGTACAATAATCTCTGCCTTTTCAACTCAGCAATACACCGAGTTTTATTTGGGTTTCCCCTACTGCATACTGCAGTCCCTAAAATGCATAGAGAAAGACATCCCAGGTAATTATAGGGCTCACCTCTTTTGTTTCTCTTTTCTTAGGAGTCAATGTTGAGCTGCTTATTGTCCAAGGTCAGATACATACAGATGCATATTGTTTGTGTTCAAATGCTATTGTTTGTAAAAATCAATTGTTTAAATATTGCTTAATTTAATCTTAATAACAACATTTCTGTTATTCTTCCACACATAGCTGTAAATAAAACCTTCTTTGGCTGCTTTTCATCTAATATTAGTTAGCAGTCAACTGATGCATTAAATTAAAGTTGGTGTAACTAATGATTTATAATAGCTGATTCTTTTTGCTACTTTTATGCCTCACTGAAGATTACTAGCTGTTTTATGATACTTTAAAAAAAAAACAGATTCACTGTAACTAAAAAACAACAAATCTTAGAATAGGAACATTTTATTAATAAAAAAAATTTTTTTTCTTCACCCGAGGATACTTTTCTATTTAACATCAGATAGAGTGGGAGGGAGGGAGGGAGAGAGAGACAGAGAGAAACAGCGATGTGAGAGAGACACATCTACTGGTTGCTTCCTGTATGACCCCAACCGGGGCCGGGGACAAACCACAACTGAGGTTTGTGCCCTTGGCCAGAATCAAACCTGTGACTCATTGGTGTGCGGGCCAGTGCCCCAACTGCTGAGCCAAACCGGCCAGGGCAATAAAAATGTTTTATATTCCATCTATTGAGGTATAGTGAAATAGTATAATTTTAGTACTGTTCATTATTACTTTAAAATTCTTCCAATTAGTCTAAAAACATTGGTAATTGGAAGTAGAATATAAACATGTAAATTGGTATGAGGTTGTTCTGGCTGGTTTGGCTCAGTGGTTAGAGTGTTGGCCCTTGGACTAAAGAGCTGTGGGTTTGATTCCAGTCAAGGGCATGTTCCTCAGTTGCAGTTCAATCCCTGGCCCTAGCCCTGGTCAGAGTCATGCGGGAGGAACATCACACCAGTGTTTTTCTCTCTCCTTCCCTCCCACTCTATCTGAAAATCAGTGGGAAAATATTCTTGGGTGAGGATTTAAAACAACAACAACAACAAACCAAATAAATAAATAAATTGGTGTGAGGTTAATTCCGTCTTAAGTTTGGAATTATGAAAAAAGTGTGTGTTTGATGAAGAAAGCACTGGCCTAATGTATTTTTGAAGGATATGAGGTACTATGGAAGAGTTAATGACTCTTATACATATAATTGACTCAATTGGTCACTGAGCTTTATTCTTTATCATTAGTGCTTACATTGTTTTAGTTACTATACTAGATGCATGGTGTCCTACTTGATAGTCCTTGTGTGTCTGTGATGTTCTTGGAAGTGAGGCTTGAAATTCTTAAGGGAATGTTTGAAAATAAGCCAGTAGTAGTATTATGATTTGTATGTTGTGTGCTCAGGTCTAACAAAGGCATTTTTACTTCTGGTAACAGAATTGTACATTGTAAAGCTTAAGAAAAATCATTGAAGAAATTTATGGCCATAATTTACATCTCTCACCCCTAAATTACAGGTAAGAGAACTATAAATGCATTGATTCTGACAGATGACAACAAAATGTCTTTATTTGATTCTGTTACTTTTTATGATTTCTTTAAAAATGTTTGTGTTAACTTTAAAAAATTACTGCTTCCAGATATATCCATTGAATTTGGTGTCCATGCTTTACTTCTTTGATAGTAGATGTGAAATATCTAGATGTAAAATATATTCAAGATCTCTTACATACTAATGACTATTAGTGAGAAAATTCAGACTGATATATGACAGTCACTAGATCTGTTTGGCAAAGCTGCTTTTGTTTTTGGTCTACTATTACTAAAAGAAATTGGTCTGCCTGTAGTGCTGCCTAGGCAAGCAACATGGATGCACTGCATTTCATTCCCCTAAATTGCTTACCATTGAAATTCATGGTAAAATAACAGATATGTTTTTTTGTTTTTTGTTTTGTTTTTGTTTTTTCATTTTTTGTTCAGATAGAGTGGGAGGGAGAGAAAGGAAGAGAGAGAGAGAAACATCGATGTGAAAAGGATACATTGAGTGGTTGCCACCCACACGACCCAACCAGGGCCAGGGACAAACTGCAACCGAGGTACATGTCCTTAGCGGGAACCGAACCCAGGTCTCTCTGGACTGCAGGCCAACGCTCTAACTGCTGAGCCAAACCAGCCAGGTCTAGAGGTATCTGTTATATTGGTAGTATGTTCCCTTGTAACCCTGTTCCTGAAGAGTAATAATTCCTTGGAAAGCCAAATCATATTGCTTTGAGTCATTTAGCGTTTAGAACAACTCTCCGTAGTTAAATAATTCTGGCTATGAATCTGGGCTTCTCCTGGTTTTGTGACCTTAGGCAAGTTACTTACCCTCTGCTGGTTTATTTGGTATTAGTATTAAATTATATTAATAGTAGTTAGTTCAGTGGACTGTGGAGCCAGTTTGTGAGGATTTGAATCCTGGCTCTTCTATTTTTATAAGCCGCGTAACTTTGGGCAAGTTACTAACTTTTCAGTCTCCTCTTTCTCATTTGTACATTAGGGATAATAATAGTTTATATCTATAAAACACTGTGAGTAACCTGACACAAAATAAACAGTCAGTAAGTAAATGTTTGCTATTATCTTCAATAAAATCAAGATTAAAAATAACATAGTAGGGCTGTTATGATACCTGAATGAATAAAACACTTTGCACTGGGGGACCTAGTACATGTTCAGCAAATGAAGATACTACAGTGAGTGGGATTGATGACAGTTATGATGATGTAGTAGCTTTGTCTGTGGAATAAAGATAGATTAAAGATTTGTAACAGAAGAGACCATACTGGAGCTCCATTGCTTTGTTAACTGGTCAAGACACACAGAGTGAGTTCCAGCATTCCGTTGGGCAAAACAAATCTACTTTTCTATCCCAGCTGATGCACAAGATGTAGTAGATGAAAAATCTTATCCAATAAGACTTCACAACTGAAATCTTATTTATACCTGTTGTGATATCAGTACTGTTTAGAATTGGCCACACTCCACAAATGATCAAGGAAGTAAAAGCATTAATTGAGAAAAATTTTTATGACAGCATTATTTTTTTTTTTAAAGTCTTTTATTTTTATTTTTTACCCTCACCCAAGGACATTCTTGCACTTACCTTCAGATAGAGCAGGAGGAAGAGAGTGAGAAACATTGATGTGAGAGATACATTGAATGGTCACCACCCACATGACCCCAACCAGGGCCTGGGACGAACTGCAACCGAGATACGTGCCCTTAGCGGGAACCAAACCTGGGACTCTCCAGTCTGCGGGCCGATGCTCTAACCACTGAGCAAAGATGACCAGGGCTATGTCAGCATTATTAAATTAAAGATATGGTATAAAACTTTTCCCACAATCGAGGGTTATTCAGAAGTTGTGAAAAATGGATAGGGAGTCATGATGCAGGTTGCTAGTATTCTACCCAACCTTAAAATCTGTTTTCTCTTTCTTCTATAGTAATATAATCCCAATTAAAAAAATTTTTTTAAGCTAAGCACATTGATGCATTTAAGAAAAGACTGTAGCCCTGGTAGGTTTGGCTCAGTGGTTAGAGCTCAGGCCTGTTGACTGAAGGGTGGTAGGTTTTATTCACGATCAAGGGCATGTGTGTCCCTGGGTTGCAGGTTCTATCCCAAGTTGGGGTCATGTGGGAGTGAGCCAATGGATGTGTTTCTCTCTCTGTTTCTCTGCCCCCCTCCCTCCCATCTAAAAACCAATAGAAAAATATCCTCAGGTAAGGATCTAAAAAGAACTGAAAAGACTATTTCCCACGTATGTGACCAAGTTCTGGCACAAGAGATGAAAGCAGAAGTATTATGGGTGTGCTGGTAAAGGGCACTAACTTGCTGGAAGAGACCCCTTTTTGCCATTCAGTTTCTCTTCTTCTTTTGACCTTTACTGAAGGCATTATAATTAAAACTTTAGCAAACATTTTAGACCAAGAGGTGATCTTGACCATGAAAGCCAGGCACCTAGAATGGAGGAAGAGAAAGTTAGAAGCTGGAATCCCTGAGGATACTGTGCAACCAAGTATCTCTACATTGCCTATCTCTAGACATCTTTCACTAAAGAAAACAGAAAATAAACCTCAAATTTCTGTATGTGTGGTAATAAACCTCAGTCTTGTTTGAGCTAAGCTATTGCTGTTTGGAGTATTCTGTAATGTGCAGAACCTGTCCTTATACTGAGAGAAAGACATATAAATAAATAATAAAGCACCATTGAAATTTAATGGTTTGTGTACAGAGGTGTGCAGGGGTAATAAACATATAAGGAGAATTGAAGGAGAGTAGCATAAATGACTAAGGGGTTCAGGAGACTGTAGATCTGCTTTTTTTATATTGGTGAAATTTTATTAGATTAATGGAAAATATGAAATATGGGAAAAAAGAAAATATTTAATTCATTGACCTTTACACAGCTAGTTATCAAATCACTTTGGTTGGATATTGGGGGTGGTTAGAAGAGCTGTTTAAATTAATAAGAGAGGCATAAGTCATTCTTGTCTTTAGAATATTAATAGGTTTTTTAAAAATAGGTTTCTATTGTTAACTTGTTATGCCATTGTTAAATGTAGTATTTATAACCATGTAGATTTTTTTCTGGTAAATTCCTTTTTAATGACACTGATCGGTGTCTCTTCAAAAATTTGGCTTGGCAAATATGGAAAAAGTTAGAAAACATTGGATTAGTCATTTTCTGTGGAAGAGGTTTAAAAAATATTATTTTGGGGCTTACACAGCAACTGGTTGATAATCTTTCACTCTTTTACATAAAGATGATTCTAAAATATTATTTATGTATTGATACCTGGGCCTTCACTTTTTAATGACTCCTGTGACACCAAAATAATTGATTTGACCCATTTAATTTAGTAGCTTTGGACAGACAAACGTTTAGATGCCTGAGTTGAGGATTTTACAATCTCTTTATTCATGTTGCCTAATTTATGACTTGGTTTTATTTGGATAATTTAGAATTCTGCGCCTACAGAGACTACAATACAGAGGTCATGTATTTCATTGTAATTTACCAAATGTGGTTCTTATAAAGTTTTTACCTTTTTTTCAGTGTGGATCTATTTACTCTTTTTTTTATATATATATTTCTGACCATTTATACTTAGTAGATGGACACTTAGGTTGTTTTCATATTTTAGCTATTGTAAATAATGGTGCAGTGAGCATGGGGGTACAGATATCTTTTTTAAGATAATGATTTTGTTTTCTTCAAATACATGCCCAGAAGTGGAGTTGCTGGATCATGTGGTAGTTCTATTTTTAATTTTTTGAGGATCCTCCATACTGTTTTCCATAGTAGTTGCACCAGTTTATATTGTCACCAAGTGCACAAGGGTTCTTTGTTCTCCACATCGTAATCAACTGTTGTTATTTCTTGTCTTTTTGATGATAGCCATGTTAACAAGTATGAGGTGATACCTCATTGTGGTTTTGACATGCATTTTATTGATGATTAATGATGTTGAACACCTTTTCATGTTCCTATTGACCATGTGTATGTCGTCTTTGGAAAAATGTCTAATCAGATCCTCTGTCCATTTATTTATTTATTCATTCATTCATTCATTCATTCATTCATTCATTCATTTATATCCTCACCTGAGGACATTTTTTCATTTTTTGTTCAGATAGAGCGGGAGGGAGAGAGGAAGAGAGAGAGAGAGAGAAACATTGATGTGAAAGGTACACATCGAGTGGCCGCCACCCGCATGACCCAACCAGGGCTGAGGGCAAATTGTAACCAAGGTTATATGTCCTTAGTGGGAACCGCACCCGGTCTCTCTGGACCACGGGTCGATGCTCTAACCACTGAACCAAACCGGCCAGGGCCTCTGTCCATTTTTTAAATGGATTTTTTTCTATTGAATTATATGAGTTCTTTACATATTTTAGATATTATATCCTTATGAGATATGTGACTTGCAAATATTCTCTTTCATTCTATAGGTTGCCTTTTTGTTTTTTATGATTTCCTTTGCACAGAGCACTTGTTTATATTTGCTTTTATTGTCTTTGCTTTTGATGTCAAATTTAAAAAAAATCATTGCCAAGACTGATATCGAGGAGATTGTAAGATTTTATGGTACAAAGTCTGTGGGATTAAGGAAAAGCTAACTATAACTTTTTTATTTACTAATAAATAATCGTAGGTTTCACTCATCAAGTTCATCTAGATGCTAATCTAGATGACTGTACATACATATTTAGATACATATTTACATATTTAAGTTCTAGACTACTTTATTTATTTACACTAGCAAAAATAAATAGAGAGGGTTAATAGTCTGATTCAATCAAAACATAATAATAATATTAGGAATAATAATTGCAGCTAATATGTTTTAACTCTAATTGATCCAAAATGAATGTTATTACCTCCAATTTATTGAGAGATTACATAATTTGGCCACGGTCACATAACTAGAAAGTAGAGACAATGGGCAAAAACTCCTCTAGTTGATTCTA